AAAAAAAAAAGCAATTCTCCACTCCAAACGGAGGCATAGTCTCAAAAAGTCATTTTCCCCAAACCTGAGTCTGGATGGCAGACTCATTAAAGCAGGAACTGAAAAATGCGCACTTTGGGACTGGCTCCTCACCCGTGGCGGCAGTCTGCTTCCCCGGGACACTCAGCTGACCCTTAACACTCGTGCAAGGCTGACATCAGGCTGCCCCCAGGTCCTGGGCCCCTGTTGCCAACCTGCAGACCTGGAGCCCTCCCAGGGAACGTGTAAACAAACGTGGGGAAAACGGTGTTTCTGCCAGTTTTTGCCAGGTCAGGGAAAAGCCTCTTGGGCCACGACAGAGAACAGGGCCTTAGCGCGGCCCCAGTGCTGACTTCCTCCGAGGCTGGTTTTTTGCGCATTCTGCTGCAGCAAGACGGTGAAGTCAACTCAAAGCCTTTTTGCCTGGCTTGCCCCAAGTGGTGTTAAACAAAACCAGAGACGATTCTTTGGACTACCTTATTCCTGAATTCTGATCCGCACACGTGTCCTTGCACACCTGCTCCGCCCTCTTGTTACTGCAGGTGACCCGGGGAGGCGGCCAGGCTCTTGTGCAGGTTGGGATTCTGGCTGTGTCTGTTCCGGCTGCGGACAGATGAGAACATGGTGTTGCAGCCCGGAACTTTGCATTTGTGGAGCTGGCGGAGATGCACAGTTTTGTAGTGAGCCCTGAAGGTCCCTTTGTTACTGTACGTCTTTTGGCAGAGGTGACAAGTTATGGGCAGCCCAGAAGGCAGGCTGGCAAGGCTCTGGTCGGCCTTGTCCATCAGGACACAGATGGGGTACTCATCTTCCCCGGGGACAAGGCTCGGCCCGTTACAGTCCTCATCACTGTCCTCCATGAGCACGGTGCCTTCCTCGCTCGCCCCGTCTGAGTCCCAAGAGGAATGGCTGCTGTTCTCAGACTTCATGCTCGAGGTAGTACTCAAATCCAAGATGGTGCCCTCGCTCGGCGGACCAGAGCTGTAGCTCTCCGGGCCGGCACTGTGGACTTGGGTTATTGGGTAAACCAGACTGCTCATCCGACTCGTTCCCTTGAAGATGACAGATGTCTGGGGGGCCTGCTGGGTGAAAGCCACATCCCGATAGGTCTCCTTGGCCACATCTTTCAGAAGGTAGGCTGCATGGAAATGGTCTTCGGTGCTCTCCAGTGCCTCTTGGCTCAACACTTTTTGGTGGAGACTTAGGTTTGAACTGTGTCTACAAGAGGGAACATATGGTTAGCAATAGGTCGGGCTGTTGTAAGAAACAGTCAACATTCCAAGTGGAGACACGAGCTGGATACCGCAAAACGCTCGTGGCACGGAAGAAGCGATGATAAGGGGAGAGGGGTGAAATGCAGGTCTAGTGGATGCTGGCCCAGGGCTGTCCACCACCCGTCAGAAGTTAGCATTGAGGAGGAAAGCGGATAGTCTGGAGTCTGGGAATACGCAGTCCTTCTTAACTTCTTAACTTCGTGATGGACACGAACTTTCCTGGACCTCATCTAGAGAGAATGCCTAGACTACTTTGATCAGGTCAAGTCACCTGGGACCCTGCAACCAGGGGACCCCAGAGAAAACTGGTCCCAATAAGGAATTAAGTGGAGCACTTTGTTTCAAAAAAAATTTTTTTTTAAGGTTTATTTATTTTTGAGAGACAGA